AATGGGCATCTCCCATAATCTCACGCCTTAAAGCATGATCTCTGGGTACACACAGCCTGTCACCAAACCACAGAATCTCATCATCAGAAATCCTGAATTCTTGCATGTGGGGTTCCCCGGCTCTTACTTTTTCCTTCATCTTTTGTAAGAAGGAATCTTTTTGTTGGGCAAGTTTAATTCTATCTATTAATGCCAGTTGTGCACTGAGGGTGGCTAGATAAGCCGTAGTGCTGTCCATTCTCAACTCCACATCCAGTTTCACAAGATCCTCAAGTAACTCCTTCTGAGTGGTAAGGATGCTAGAGGCAGTGCCAGAGGACTTTCTGCTCAACACATCTGCTACCTTGTTAGCTTTACCCGGATGGTAGCTAATGGTCAAGTCGTAGTCCTTTAAAAGTTCAAGCCATCGCCTCTGCCTCATATTAAGCTCCTTTTGAGTGAAAATATACTTAAGGCTCTTGTGATCAGTGAAGATTTCACAAGTCTCACCATACAGATAATGCCTCCAGATCTTGAGTGCAAATACTACAGCTGCCAGCTCCAGATCATGGGTAGGGTAATTTTCTTCATAAAGCTTTAACTGCCGAGAAGCATATGCAATAACCCTATCTTTTTGCATCAAGACACATCCCAAACCCTTTTTAGAGGCATCACTATATGTAGTGAATTTTTCCCCATTAATTGGAAGTGCAAGCACAAGAGCAGTGACCAACTTCTCCTTCAAGGTCAAAAAGCTCTTCTCACACTCTGGGGTCCACTCAAACTTGGTGTCCTTTCTGATAAGACGAGTCATGGACAGAGCAATTCTAGAGAAATCCCCCACAAATCGACAGTAATAACCAGCCAATCCCAGAAAACTACGGATTTCTACAACACTATTCGGCCTTTTCCAATCAACAACGGCCTCAATTTTCTGGGGGTCAACAGAGATTCCATCCTTAGTCACCACGTGACCTAGGAATGCAACATTATCTAGCCAAAATTCACACTTCTTGAATTTAGCAAACAGCCTCTCCCTTCTCAACGTCTCGAGGACTGTCCTTAAGTGCTTTTCATGAAAAGCATGGCTAGAAGAATAGACCAAAATGTCGTCAATGAAGACAACCACGAACTGATCTAGGTACTTGCTAAACACCCAATTCATCAAATCCATAAATCTGGCAGGGGCATTTGTCAAGCCAAATGGCATGACTATGAACTCATAATGACCATAACAGGTGCGAAAGGTAGTCTTTGGCACATCATCTGGTTTAATCTTCACCTGGTGGTAGCCAGATCGAAGATCAATCTTAGAAAATACCTGAGCACCCTTGAGCTGGTCAAACAAGTC